TTTTTATGAAATTTATTAAAGTACTTAATGATCCAATTTCTCTAATATTCTATAGCGATAATTATTAACAATAATACTGTAGAATTCACTACTGTATTGATAATTCTTTAAATTTTATTATTACTATTTATTCTCTTTTACAAGTCACTCTCGTTATAGTGAACTCTTGTTATAGTGAAGATTTGATATAGTGAAGAATTTTGGATTCCAGAATTATTAAACTTCAACTCGATATAGTGAAGTTTATATAGTATTCTCTCGATATAAGCTATAGTGAAGATTTTTTTTCTCAGCCCAAGGACTTCACTATAACAAGAGTGACTTATATATTTATTTATTTATTTATTAATTCATCTAATGTCTGTAAATAATAATGATGATATACTACTTACAAATAATGACGACAATCATATATACGAAGAATTTCCTGATCTTGATTCTAGGCGACGCCGTGCACTTCTCGAAATAGATCATGCAAAGTTTCAATGGTTTCATATCAGAGCTTGTGTAGTATCTGGTGTTGGTTTCTTTACGGATGCATATGACTTGTTTGTCATAAATTTGGTTGCTACTATGTTAGGTTATAGTTACTTTGACAAAAATGGTGTCCTTCCAACAAATGTCGATATGGGATTAAAAATGTCTGCTGCATGTGGGACTCTAATAGGTCAAATATTCTTTGGTTGGTCCGCAGATCGGTATGGGCGTAAAAAAGTAAATACGAGTGTTCTATTACAGTTTCATCTATTCACGATCCTGAATAATAATACCAATAGAGGTTATATTGAAAATCTGTTATGAATGAATGCGTTATATTTAAAATTTTAAAAAAGACAACATAATATTATTAAAATTAATAAATATGTAGTATGATATATTTAAAATTTGGATAACTGGATAAAAAAAAAATTACTACAATATATTCAAATTGTGGTTAAGAACAATTAATATTAATGCATATATATAATGTGGATTTATTAACTTCAAAATAAAATTTGTAAAAAACTTTAAAGAAAATATAACCTCTAATTATTATTCAGTTTCATGTTTAATCCATTACTTTGCTGATAATTTTTGGGATAGATTTATGGCTTAGAACTATCAATAATGGTCGTCGCGACGATCGGCTCTGCGATGGTTGCGGATTCATTTGCTACTACTATTTGGGGCTCACTAGTGTTTTGGCGGTTCATATTAGGCATAGGAATTGGTGGTGATTACCCTTTGTCAGCAGGTAAATATTTTTTTGAAATTCCGGGCTTTAAGAGTGCAACTTGTCACTTAATCGATTGTAATCAATTATGAATATATCTCTATAAATGATATTTCAAGTTATAACGAGCGAATTTGCAACGATAAAGAAACGAGGAGTAAGTAGAACTTTTGACACATCAATTTTGAAAATTTTAATTTTTATGATCCTCATAATTCTTGTTACTATTCATACAGGCCATGATGGCAGCCGTTTTTGCTATGCAAGGCTTTGGGATTTTATCTGCAGCTATAATTTCAGTGGTTACTTTGACGATTTTCAGGGAAAAGATAATGCATGATTTAAGGTACATTGATTGTGTATGGCGAATAGTATTAGGATTTGGAGTGGTTCCAGCAACTACAGCATTATATTTTCGACTGACAATCCCCGAAACACCACGTTATACTATGGATGTAATGCAAGACATCGAACGAGCAGCTCATGACATCAACAACGCATTGTTGAAAAATAAACGGGATGTGCATACTCAAGATAAACCTACTTTTGCTGTAGAAACTCCTCGCGCCACGTGGGAGGTAAGGCATTATAAAAAGTTCACGTATTGTATATGCTGTATATAATATATATTTTCACAAATTTATTTAAATCAATATGTAATTGCGTATGCATAGGATTTTAAAAATTACTTTAGTCAATGGGAAAATGGTAAACTTTTAATAGGAACCTCGATCTCGTGGTTCGTATTGGATGTTACATTTTATGGTAAATAAAACAATAAAGTATAAACTATCTTTAAACTGCTCTGCTTAATAAATTTTTTTAATTATATAGGCATAGGATTAAACAATGCGATCATTTTACAAGCCATTGGTTTTACGTCTAAATCGCATCCCTATGATGCACTATGGGATTTGTCCGTTGGCAATATTATCATTAATATGTTGGGCTCGGTTCCAGGATACTGGCTTACAGTTTTTCTAATAGATAATTGGGGACGTAAAAGGATCCAATTAACGGGATTTAGCGTTCTTACTATATTATTTTTAGTTTTGGGTTCTACTTATAACTTTCTCTTGTCACAACCTATGGTGATATTTATTATATTATTCTCATTATGTCAAGTAAGATTGAATATTATTTATTATTAGTCATTTAATTTAAATTTTATTCAACTAACATAATAACTTTTTAGTTATTTCTTAATTTTGGGCCAAATGTAACGACATTTGTTGTACCTGGTGAAATTTTTCCCACAAGATATCGTTCAACCGGACATGGGATATCAGCAGCAGCAGGAAAATTTGGGGCAATCTTGTCACAAGCAGGGTTTGCTCAATTTAGAGATATAGGTGGTAAAGACATGTTTGTTCCTCATTTAATTCAAATTTTTGCTTTGTTCATGTTTTTTGGAATTTTTTCGACGTTATTGATACCTGAAACAAAAAATCTATCATTGGAAGAATTGTCAAACGAAACTCAAATTGGATTTGTTAGGCGACCGCATAAACAAAGACACGTTGTTTAAATCTTATCGTTATGTAAATTCTAGTCCAAAAATTCCGAAAAAATGAAATCTCTTTATACTTGCACATTAGCATTAGCTACATTTTATGCAAAAGTACATATTAATATTTTTTTCCTCTTCAAATAATATTGTAACATTTTATAAAAAATAATATAGCGCACAAATAATCATGTATTATAAAACCATAAATACATCGAAAAAAAAAAATTTTTTTTTTGAGAGTTTATAAAAAATAAAAAAAGAATGAATGATTTTTGTCTTATCTCACAATTATTAATCTTTTAAAAATTTGCAACCCAACATACAATAATTGTATAGTTCTATTATCCACATCCACATCTCAAAATAGACCACCTAATTTTGATGAAACAGTTAGAAACTCCTATGAAATCTGGTAAGGTAAGATTTACTTTCTATCTTATATATATATATATATATATACTATATTATAATTGTTTTACATATGAAATGAATTGTAAAAATTGTAGATAAATTTAGTCACAATGGAATTACTGTAAATTGCAATTTACGACTAGTTAATCAATATGATTTCTAATGTAAATAATATAAGTTTGACAATATATAACAATATAGCGATAATTTAAAATCCTTTATTATAATATATAGTTATTGGGTGCGAAGCAGCCAATAATAGTTATTTTACCCATACACTCGAGTCTTAAGTTGTAATCTATTTTACAATCAACCGTTTTTATTAGCCAGAAAGTTGAGAAAATTCTGTTTTCAATCGAACTTAACACAGTCAACCCTATATATACCCTCTCTAAGTGCAAATATTCAGTCCCAAGCATATAGAGCTCTTAATAAAATGCCTTCCATAAATGCGCACCCTATGTCCAAAGGGGATGCACTTATGGAAGGTTGACTGTAAACGAAATTTAATGTATAAATACGGTTTATCCAAAACTGGGAAAGCTGGGTTAAGGAGAGACACTGTAATTATACGTAACAAATAGTTTAAACAATGAAAATAATAATTTGGACGCCCACCGGAGGTGAAATTTACTTAGGTATGTGCGTACAGTACTACGCGTTTTGGAGTACTAACGCTAATCGAAAAACAACCTCTAACCGCATGATAATCACTTGACATTCTACAAAATGTAGATACCGATACGTGCATATGTACGTAATCTAGCGTTAGAACAACGCAAAATCTATAACGATAACGATATTGTTTAATAAAAAACATCAGTCTACCAAATTTGGTAACGTCCGATAAATGAGTGTTACGATTGGTGTTGATTTTAGTAAATTTTCTAGCGCTAGTCATCCCTCTCACAGTAAAGTAATTTAATAGTAACATAAAGGTACATTGTATATTAAATTACGCATACAATGCTAAGTTTCACGAAGAACAAACATTATCGTTGTTTAAATCCATTAAATAATTATATTTGTCCCTTGACCTAAAGGCTGAGGATGGGGATCAATTATTAGCATACTACGTATGGTGCATTTATACTACTATTTTTTTGATACGTAAACAAATACGGTTAAACAAATATGCTTATTGACGTTTCTTATTTCATATTTCAAATTAATTATAATTTCTTAATGTAATCTGATGCAAATTATCAAAAAAAAACCAAATAACTAGAATAACTACAGAACTAGGCATTTCTCAACAATGAATCTTGGACGTTAATCTTATTCTATGATATATAGTATGCATGCATAGATCCAATCTTAATTAGGTGTATGTGTGTGATATGGAATTAAAAACGTTTCGGGAAAGGGAACTTTTAATTGTTTTTTTTTCAAAGAGTTGAAGAAAAAGGTTGCGCTTTTGTTATTAAAAATTTATCTAGAAAGAAATTTATTTGCGATGCACATAATATACCTCGTTACCAAATAAGGTAAAGAAAGAGTTCGAGAGATTTGTGGTGCTTGCATTGTCTTAAGTTAAAATAAGTGAACATACGCACTAAAAAATTACTTTTATTTCATATTTTATTAAATTCTTTCAATTTATTCTTTTATATATCTTAACCTTACTACGTAGTTTTCTTGTTTCAGTTCTATACTTGGAAATTTAATATATAATATAATAAACATAAGTTAATATAACAATAGGTTTCAAGAAACGCATGACCTAAATTTCCAATTATACATTGTTAAGAGAAATATATATATAAAGACAATAAATGTGCACGATTAGTTCCCAACATTTTTTTCATTTTTTATTTTTATTTTTATTTTAATTTTTTTCTTTCGTTCTCTAACTATTATATCACAATGAATAATAGTATTATTGCTGTGGACATTATTCCGGATAATGATGGAAAAGTAGTAATGTACGGTGAACCAAATAAAGATAAAGCTCACTTAGTTTCTGGCAAACTTCGTGTAATACTCTCAAAACCATTAAAAGTGAAATTTATATCCGTCAAATTAAAAGGAAAATCAGAGTATTCAGATTGGGAAAATCAATATTCTTGCATAAATGTAATTAAACTTGAACAAATACTATATGAAAAGGACGTTCTACCAAGAGGTGTAACAGATTTTGACTTTGGACTTAAAATGCCTGGGAATATGCCTCAAAGTTATGTTACTAGTTTTGGTTTGATTAGATACAAGCTGATAGCTGAAGTTCAACCTTCTTCGATGCTTGCAAAATGTGAAAGAGTCGAACGAGGTATTCATATTTATAGACATTATTTACCATGTAGAAGAGAACTCCTACCCGCACCACCTACAAAAGTTTATAGAGGTCAAAGAAGGAATATATTAAAATATGAACTAGATATTCCCAATGTCATAAGCGTTAACGAGAGAAGTTTATTAATTAGAGTTAGACTATTACCGTTTAGCGTTCAGGGTTATGTCAAGAAAATTATTTTTGATCTAGTTCAATCTGAAAAGTATAGGTAATAATCATAACTTTAATTGTTAATTAATCTTATAAAATTACTTTTTTGTTAACCTTATTTATTTTATAGAGTTCAGCCAAGTCAACAAGATATAACATATTATGATATGGATAGTACTCAATTTGTTGGCAATGTTCAATTAAGCGCTTCTACTCCAACAAAACGTAAACGATCTAGTCAAATAAAACCAACGGTTCTTTCTATCTCCCGTGATGATGATACTTGGAATAACCCATTAACCTATAATCTTCCCTTCGTTCAATATTCTCGTACCGCTACATCTGGCACAACTCGTGCGTCTAAGATAAAAGCGACTATTGATTCTCCATTAATTCGTGTTAGGCATAAACTTAGACTTTCAATGATTTTTAGAGACGAAACTGAGAAGGATTTAGAATTAGGATTTCCTATCACTATCACAACCATTCCAGAAGATGATCATTCTTCAATTTTTGGTATGCTTTGCGATAATGGTCTGCCTTCTTACGATGATTGTATAGAAGATTCTCCTACAATGGGCTATGAAGAATCCGAGGATTCTAGACCAATTACTCCTTTAGGTGAATTAAATAATTTGGATAACAGCTTGAGATATCATTCCAGGAATAATTCTAGAAGTAATTCAAGGAATCATTCTAGAAGTAATTCAAGGAATCATTCTAGAAGTAATTCAAGGGATAATTCTAGAAGTAATTCTAGAGATCACTCTAGAAGTAATACTATGTCAAATCTCGATGATGTAAACAATGGATATAATGATGATAATTCATCGAACGGAGGAAATGGTGCTTCAAATAGTTCAATATTATCAGATAAACGTCAACCAACCTTAAAACATAAAAAGAGTCAACGCTCTTTGGTAGACCGTCTTTTGCACAGAAACGAAAATAATTCAAAAACAACTTCTCCACCACTTCCAAGCATTCCTATCACTTATACTACACCGACATCGCATCCAAATTATAATAATTCTTCTACAGATCATAATCGAGCATTACCAATTTCTCATGACCCCCCTTCTTATTCACCAATGCGACCTCCTAATTCTAATATCAATTATCTATCTGCAAGGAATGGAGGCGCAAGTAGATATTTAAATATGCCTGATGAAGATGATTATGAGACAAACACGCATTTAGAGATTCACAGCGCTCCTAGCAGCCCTAAACTTAGTGGAATTCCAATGCCATTAGGCGACGATGTTTCAAATGAATTATCTTATATCAATGATGAAGCTTTTAGTTTAGAAAACAACAGTAATTTGTTGTCACCACAAAAGATGAAAAGAAAGTCGCATAGAAGATCCGCAAGTTTTGATTTGGGTATAAAAAAACCTGAACTTATGAATTCTAGATTTCTTAATAATAATAAACTGAGGACTAGCGGAGATAAAAATGATTTATTAGGGCTTGGCGTTAGTGGAATAAATATTAATGTTCAAATGCCAAGTCCTACCTTTGAAAATATAAACAATAGAACTTAAGCAAAAGTAAAGAATATTCAGTACATATATAATATATAATAATAATTTAATAATAAATGTTTTCTCTTTTGTTTAAATAATTGTTTCATACTAGCATTTTATAATAAAGATATTTTTTTATTTAGAGTATTTAAGAAACTTTAATATGGCATTCAGGTTGATAATAGATTTATAAATTTGTTTAATCTAATAGGTTTTGACTATTTTATTAAACCTAACCTAAAAAAAATACTACATTTATTCAGAACTTCTTAAGTGTACACTCTTTGTAAATTTTTTCTGAATGCACGATATATCTTAATCCCAAATTATAAGATTTTGATATATTTTGCTCTCCACAAATACATACCCTTTTTAAGTGCATCTTTTGCTTTTTTTATGATGGTCCCAAGGGGTGTGCTTCGGGTGTTTGACTATATAAATAAAACTATTGAATTAATGTTAGTAATCTTATATTTGACATGGAAAGTATTTTATATTCAAATAATACTTTATATCATTGTCACTCAAGTAATTACATTAAAGAAAGTTCTGGCATTCTGCTACATTCTAACCTCCACACTCTCTCAACGGCAGTGATGATATGAATAATTAGCTTAATATTTTTCAAATATGAACCGATCAGATGCAATACGTCTACTATCCCTCGTCAGGTGAGTACATATTCAATAAATCATTCCTTGAAATTAAATTTTATGAATTCAATTTAATAGCACTTGTACTTCATACTTGATTCTCACCACGTTGGAATTATTCCTTTCAGACAGTGCAGTGAACGTTATGTACGTACGTACGTATATCAGATATCTGATATACATACCAGATACGTATGTACCTGCTTACGTAACAAGTAATGCATCGTGTAACGTAACATTTCGGATCTCAACTAAATACGACACAAAATCATAGTTTGATAACTTAATACACTTATTTTCATAAAATGGATTCGTTACCACCACTTGAGCCAACAACAGAACAATATCAGACACTTAGTGTGGATACTCTAACCTACGAGAAACGTCGTTTGGAAAATTCTATAAATCATTTAATACGATCAAATGAAGAGATGAAAAATTTTGATAAAGATGATGCAGATTTTCAATTAGCTATCAAAGAAAATGAAGCTTTTATATTAAAGTACTTTCTAATATTTCATTAAATATAAACTCTTGGGATCCTCATTATTAATTATATTTCTCTTTTAAATAACGAAATAGGCAACAAGATAAAATCAATACCATTCAAAATATATTAGCAGAAAAACAACAAAGTGGAAATAATTGCATACCTCTAGATCCTAACTCATCAGCAACTGAAACTGCTACTACTACGTTTAATGATTTAAATGATATTGATCAGCTCGTCGAGGATGTGCAAGATAATCACAATAGCAATATCAATGGTGCTTGATGCATTTACAATAATAACATTGCATTAATCATGTAAAACAGACGGTAATTTTTTATAAAATTTTACAATTTGTATTTTGTAATCTTTAGTTTGATTCATCCTTATAATTAAGCAATCGTTTTTCTTTAATGATAGTTTATGATTTATTGGATTCATTTTTGTACGAAAAAATATTAAATTTTATAAATTTATAAAATTTAAATAAAAATATTGTTAAGATTAATTAAATATTGTTGGGTAGTGACTGGACTCGTATCAATTCGTTACTCACGAATTAAACTCAGAAGAGTGTTCAAATTATTCGATTTAATTACATATTC